AATCCTAGTTTTTGCATTTGGGGGTATGGTTTTTTTGATTCGGGGGTACGAGTTTTGGTCGTTTGTGTTCTTGTCGAGCTGCATACCGCTTGCTGCTGGTGTGCTCATGGGGCCGGATATTTGATGTGTTCTTCAGCATTTTCGTGCTGTCCCGTGCTGTTTCTCGGCTGTGGTCTGTGTCTTTTTGTTGCTTGCTGGGTTGCTCAATGGGGCGGAGCTGGCTGGGAGTGCCTTTTTGTCCTCTTGTGGGGTTGGGTTGTTGGCGGCGATGGTGGTGTATGGGGCGGTGGTGGTGTTTGGGATTGTTTGGGGGCGGCACTGGGTAGCGGCGGTTTTGTTTGCTTGGCCATCGTGTACAGAGTGTACAGTTGTGTACAGTTGTGTATGGCCCGTGGCCGGCAGTGCGGACAGACATGTTTTGCGTGTGGTGCGGTGTTTGCCTTCCAGCTTCGCAGCATTGTGCGAGGTGGCTCAAGCGGGCTCATCAAGCGGGCTCAAAGTGGCTCAAAGTGGCTCAAAGTCTGGGATCTCGCCATTTCGGCTTCCGGCTCAAAGTGGCTCAAAGCCTGAGATCTGGCCACTTCGGCTTCCCCCCATTTCCAGAAGCGCTTTCAGAAGTGCTTTCAGAAGTGCCCCCTCCCGTGGGAATTTTGCAGACTTTTCCGGAAGTCTGCTTCGAAAGTCTGCCTGTTCCAAGAAGTCTGCTGGTGGCAGAATTGGGAGGATGGCCAAGACATGCCAGAGGAAGCCCCCCAGCACTGGGAGGGTGTAAGGAGGATGGCCAAGATTCGGTGTGGCTATCGCAACTGCACAAAGCTGGGCCATGATTGCAAAAACTCTAGCTATGTGCTCAGCATCAAGAATGTGAACCCTCACCAGTGCCGATGCTTGAGAAAACATGCTCAAAGTGTCAGGTTCTGCACCAAGTCACATATGAACATGTGCAAGCTACAGGCAAAAGCACAGGATCAGAAGAAGAGCTCTGGGGCAAAACGCCAGGGGAAAGGCAGGGTGCCTCTGACAGCAGAGCAGGTTGGAATCTTGTTTCGCACTCTTGTACAGAAGGTCAATTGTGCATGGGCAGGGGCATTGTGCTTGCTACAACTGTTCCTGGGAGACAGAGCTGATGCAGCCCGGCAAGCCTCTACAGAGTGGTTCCGGAACTTGAATCCCGACAGTGGGAATCCTCCAACCGTGGCCATCCCAGACTGCAACGACAAAACCACGGTGAGAGAAGTATATCTCTCAAAAGGATTTGCGGCACTTCTATGGCATTGGGTTCTAGAGCCTTTGAAAGGCCGTGACGAGAGGAGCTCATGGCCACACCCGGGCCAGAACCTGCACAGTGCGCTTCTGAACATGAAACCTGTGCTCCTGTTTCCTGGGCGTGTTCGCGGAGGGAAGGACCGGCGAAATTGGAAGAAAGCCATTAGTGAGAAAGCATATTACGATGCAGTACGCTCAGCAGCTGGCATTATTCAGCGTGAGAGAGCACAAGCACACAGGCAGGGAGGCAAACACCCTTATGATGACGTTGATCTCGATCGCTTGGGCACGCACAGTATGAAGAAAACCTGTGTTACAGAACTTTGTGAGCAGAACGTGTCACCGGCTGTGATAAGCCAGCTGACAGGCACCACAGAGGAGGTCTTGCTGTGTCACTATTACCAGCCTAGTCAAAGGAAGCAACAGGAAGCTGTCTCTAACGGTCTGGCCAAGGTGGTAGCAGCTGTTTCACCTAAAATTCCACCACAGGAAGCAAGTGCTGAAAGCTATGGCTATTGCTCACACTGTGGCACGAAACGGAAATCTGAGTGGTATTTCTGCCCCAAATGTGGCACTAAGTTCCATGACATGGCATGATGTCTGCCAATTCAGCCAGTGTAAGCTAATGCTCTGAATGTCGCAAGTCATGCAGCAGAGAAAGTTACTGTCAGGTCGCGTTTGTTGCAGGAGTTTGCTTGTGTCTGTATGTGTGCCTGCATAGTCCGATTACACTTGGCTTGAGTGCGGTGATCGTTTATGGGTTTGGCGGTTTAGGGTCTAGGGCACTCAAACGAGAGTCGCTCTTTTTGAGTGTTTTTGGACATACTCCAGATACTGGTAAACCCCATCTCACCAATACCCGTAGGTCCTCCAACCTCAACACCAGCAGGCGCTCCACTCCCAAATCACCGTGCTCCCTAAAGATTAAAACCATGAAGCCCTTCACCCGAAACCCAACACCAAACACCCTTAACACGTAGTACTTCTCCAACATTTTCCGATAACACTATGACTATAATGCTACAGCCCCTAAGCCTCGACAAGCCTCAACCCAAACCCGAAAACGCCTAAACCCATCTTGTCGCAACCTTATTCTTGCTAAGATTAAATTGTGAACTCTTAACCCTACTTTTTTGAGGATTCGGCCCTTACACCCAAAGCCCAAGTCCTAAAATCCTTAAAAGGAGGTGTTCCCGCGTTTGCCGAAAACCCTGAACCCCCTAAACCCCAAACCCTAAACCCTAAACCCTATTGCGGCCCCCTTCGTCCATCGCCGTCCCGATGCCGACCGATGATGTGGCCTCAGGCCGCTCGGGGTCGGGGCAGGGTAAGGGTTGCAGGCTTTAGTCATCTTACAATAGGCCTGGGGTTCCCAACTCTCGGGGTTGAAGTAGCTTCTGGGCTTGAAAAAACCTTTTGGAACTGCAGGGGTGTGGCTAGAGTGGAAGATAGAACTTCATGGGTGGAGGTTCAGCTTTAGCTTTACCGAAGCTGTATGGGGTACATAAAGTGTGTGTTCAGTGGCCCACAAACTACCGCCCCAACCCCAATCCTTGGGCCTATCATCCGGGGTATTCTCACTTTTGTGATGCCTAGGTCACAGTGCAAAAGCAGTGCTCGGTTGCAACTGATCAGGGCTGAGGGCTTGATTGTGTTTTCCAAGGCGGCAAGGGTAGCGCACTGTAAGTGGGCCAAGGGTTGCCTCAAAATGCACCGGCCTATTGCAAGTTCACAAGGCTTTATGGCTAGGCTGACAACGCATGTTCTAAACAACCATCACATACAGGACGTGGTGCAGCAGAAGGGCTTTAGGCCTTCTTCAACTCAACGGCTTTCATTCCATCCAGCTCGAAGGTTGAGGAGATGATGACGACAGGTCGCACGGGCCCCAAGCCATTGATTGAGTGGATCACCACCCACGCGAGTGAGGTCAAAGATGTGGTCCATGATTCCGGTTCAGCATAAAGCGCCCCAACCACCGGGGATACCTTCTCGGAGTTTGTCAGCTGATTCTTCTCGGGCTTGAAAACCACAGGGTGCTCCTAGTCTGTGTAGATAAACACTATAAGTCCAATTACGTTCCCGTAATTTTATAAGCCCTCATCCCAGCCTTGAATATTAGCACGCTTGCCACGGCACTGCCAGGCTCGGAAGTACACTCACTTGGAACAAAGATCCCGAAAGAGTAAAAGATCAACACCAAAACCCAAGCCTCAAAGTGTAAGCTTACAAAATCTTGTGCCATCGCGGGGTCCTGTTTGACATTCATTTCGCCAGGCTTACCTGGCTTGTCCTCTACCTTGTGATACTGGATCCGGGCATCTGTTTTGCCAGCCAGTGCATCCTTGACTGTGACAAGCTGGTTCTCGAGCAGCACCTTTTGCTCCATTGCCGTGATAGTGAACATCATGTCAGAAGCCTTGTTGAGCTCCTCGCCCTGCTTCAACTGTGCCCACTTGCCTTTGCCAAAGCCCACAAGCACAGTGCCCTCAGTGACGGTCACCTCCAACACGGGTGTAATGGGTACTGACTGGGTTGTGAGGCTTCGGGCTTGGGGTTGTAGCATCTCACGAGGTCGGAGTCTTTACATTACAGGGTCCATCGGATTATGATTCGACTATGATATCCAAACAAAGTGGCCTTCTTGCCAGCGGGATTTCTGTTCATCAAGAAGATTGTCTGGTCACTCCTGAAGCTCAGGTCCGGCGGCGACATGCCAGCGGCGATTTTGATGTTCGGCAGCTTCACCTGCAGGCTGTGGGGCTCGGGCTTTGTATTAGGGTTTTTGTGTTTGGCTTCGGGGCCTTAGAACCTTAGGACTCTAGCTATGGGGCTTAATTAGGGTTGTGGGGGGAACCGCTGGGTTGCTTGGGTCTGATGTAGTTCCAAACATATATGTTGATGCCGTCAGGCCTGTGCTACCTCTGTTCCAGTCACTTTGTCGAGGTCGACTGTTGTCAAGTCCACTTTGATGCGCTTCGCTGTGGGCTGGATCCCAAACAAAGCTCTCTTCTTCTCAACCACCTCGGAGACTTCAGCCGGGCCAAACCTTTCAACAATCGAATCCATAACTTTTCGGAACTCACCACCATGGGATTGGTGGTGGAACCACTGTTTCACCAGTGGCTCTGGCACGGCCACGGTCTTTGGGAGCCCACTGGAATCCTGCAGTAAGGGTTGGGAGTTTAAGGCGTTGGGGTTTTTTGGGCTAGGGGAGTTAAGGTTTAAGGTTTCGGGTTAAGGCCAAGGCTTTTTCTAGACTTCAGGAATAGTAACTGCTAGGAAGTTAACAGCGAAAAGTATGTAAATTCTGGTAGGCCTTAGGTTGCAACTCTTTATCACATGAGTGTCTCGAAGCTTTCGACTGCACTCCTTGACAATAGTCAACCTTTTCAGGGTCGGTGGCTGCGGTGGGGCGACGACGTGCTCGGCTGGCGGCTGCGAGGCCGACCTTATATATGCCCAGTATATGTAGAAGACTGGCCTGTTTGGAGAACATATCTTAGGTCAGCGCTTGGAATGTCCCGGAACCTTCAGCTTGCCCTCGCGGAACTTATCAGCAAGGACATCTCTGTAGTATGTCATGATCCACTCATGGTGCTCGTCATCCGTCAGAAAGCACACGTAATGGAGCGAGATGTTGGATCCCTGCTGTACGTCCACGTAAGCCTAGGTGCACACCCGACCATTAGTGCTGAGAGAAGGAACAGAAAAGCATTTAACCGCCATTTAGTCTGGGCACTGACAGGAAGTTTCCCACCAGCGGGTTCAGGTCGATCAGGTCCAAACCCATCTTGGCTGGGAAATCCAGCCCATCCTTGATGGCAGTGAGACACTATGCAACAGGCAGTTTTAGGGGGCAGTGACAGCTCCTACTGGTGAACAAACCGAGACTCCAAGAGGGCATGCAGAAGCTTCATCGCGGCGTCAGCGCCGATTTGTGCCCACTTCATTGCGCCTTTGACGGTGGTGGCCATCTCGACAGAAGTTGAGCCGGGTAACACTGACTCGCCCACTTGCTCCATGATAATCATGTCTTTTCCGGACAACTGGTTTGCTTCATTTGTGCGGGAGCGGCGGAATAGGGCCGCCTTCTTCCACAAGAAACTTCCACTGGCCTGCAAATCGACGGACGGGGACGTAAGGAGATGCCCGGGGTACACCAGTGGCCTATCATCACGATCATCCTCAGCACAATCGAAGCAACACTTGTACACTTTGCAGGTTAGGTGCACTGTTTGGTTTCTGGTTTAGCTAAGGGCAGGTCAAGCTTGTCATTGAAGATCAAGCTGAATACCCGATCCATTTGTGCGCCGGTCATGGACACACGCTGGAGCACCGCTTTCTCCTCGTTGTACCTCCCATTTTTCTTGTAGGAAAACAAGGGGGCAAGCAACACGGCCACATTCTGCACGTCTGCCAGGGAGTGCTGCGTGACCTTCAGCATGGCAGCCTGGTGCTCAGCTTTTATGAGTGCTGGTGCGACAAAGTTCACGAGGTTTGCTTGCACCTCAGGTAGACACCAGTGGGGATATCGGGTCAGTTTCTAGTTTGTGGCCTGGGCTGGCTATCTTTCTGTGCTGACACAAAAACTAGCTGCAAGTGGCATCTCTAACGACTCTAATGCAGCAGGAGCACAATGCCCTGAAGATGTCGAGCCTTCTCGCGACTCTGCTGGTCCTCCTTGTAAGCTGTGATTCCCACCATTCCCGGATCTTGCCCAGCTGAACGAGGGCTGGAGTCCCAAACAAAGGCTGTCACCTGGGCCCAGCTAGGGACACGACAGGAACATATACTTGCTAGCCCTGACATGGCACCATGTATGTAAGTTCCTACAGTACCAGGCAGGTCACGTGATGATCTAAATACGCATCTGCGGCGGCTCTTGCTTCGTCCACCAGCTTCTTGCTCCACATGTTTTTCTGGTGTGCGACAGACGAGGCATGGGACTGGGCATTGGCCTGGTACACAGCGAAGGCCTGCACATCGAAGTCGATCTCCTGCATGAGTAGAGCAAAGGTTTTCTCGTCCACGGCCTGCTGAGCATGATCGAGGTTGAAGGAGGCTGCAGATTTGGAATCGGAGGGTTTGCTGCCGCTGAACTCATCCAATAGCTGCTTCAAACCTCATTTGCAATTATATTGGTACTTGCTCTCCTATGTCACTCTACCACAAAGCACAATCTGAACTCCAAATTATCGAGATCTGCAGTCTAAACACTCGAGCAATTTCTGGGTCCATACGAGGCTTCCTTTGCCCCCACTGCCGTGCTCAGTTCGACTTCTAGGCCCACGTCGCCCTTGGTCAGGCGTTCCAACCACCTCATTCTCGACAACCCAAGGCCGGGTACAGGGGTTCAAAAGCTTTGAGCTTTTAGGCTTGACTATTCGATTTTGGTCCGAGGCATCCATCCAGCTCGTAAAATGGACTATGTCCGGGTTTCCAGGACTTTATCATTAATTCTTGTTTTTTTCGTCTGTAAGGGATCAGAGATTCATTGGTCTGGTTCTTTAGCCCATTAACCACATGGGTCTAGACTATGACGTTTTACTGGAAATGCACGTTTTGGGTCCACGACAATAATGGTCGTTGGGTCTGGGTTTTAAGGCATCTACTACACACCTTCATGAAGCTGTATTTCCATCAAAGATGTTCGCTGAAACCTTGTTGGATAATTATCTGACTTTAGGGTCATGATGGGTCTGTTCAGAACGGCCGCCTCTTGTTCACGAAGGACTCGACATTGGGAATCTGGGAGGCCACTTCATCTCGCAAAGCCACAGCGAGTGCACCTAAGCAATGCACTTCATTGGTTTTGGCATAAACAGCTTCGTGATTGCTACTCACACTGGCAGCTTGCGAGCAAGCAACAAACCTCGGATCGGTGCTCTAGGATCGCCTTTGTGACTTTCTGACGTAGCTTGAGTGGGGTGTCTTCGTGCACAGCATTCGTGAATTTGAACACATACATTGCGCTCTCACCGGTGACCTTGCCATACTTGACCCAGCTGGATTGCTTGTTCACTTTGGCCGACTTGAAAACATGCCCCGGAAGTAGTTTCTTGGAGGCTAGGGCATCCTCATTGTATGGTGAGCCTGTGCCCAGGAATCAACACATGCACTGGAAGTCTAGAAGTATGTAGTGTGTGCTTTCTCATTGCATCAGTTGAAGGTCCTTTCCATCCGTGCTTGTTGACAGCCGTAATGAGGTGGTCTCGAATGCTGTGGTCGAGGTCCAGGATGTTTCTTATGCACATGAATTTAGCGCCTGTCAATCGGTCGGATTTGGCAGCGGACTCATTCCACTGCTTAATCACAAATTCGCTGTCCCATCCACCGCTTCGACTCAGACTCAATAATCCATTGAGCCAGGTGATTGGTGTCGGAGGCTCCCGTATCGAGCTTCTCGACAGCACCTTCAGGTTGTAAAACCTGTCACAATCCAGTGCTTCAGATCAGCAGGCCCAAGCCAAGACATCACTTTGTTGAAGCCCTACAAGTATCACTTAGCATGTTAAGGCTGCAGCAGCTCTTCTCGTGCATCACCCAGCTGAAGGCACTTGACAGCAATGCGGGGTAGACTGTTTGCCAACGGGAAGCATGCCTGCCAGTTTGTTATTTAGGGTTTAGGGTTTAGGGTTTAGGGGTTTAGGGGTTTAGGGTTTAGGGTTTAGGGTTTATGGTTTTTTTAATGGAGTGCTTTGCCGAAAGACCTGACTCGATGACACCATCTTAAAGAAAGCGAGCGTGGCCAAGCAGGAGACGATGCGAGAGCGCCCTTTGATGAAGATCAGCGAGAAGTCCGCAATGGGCCCGTCGCTTGCCTTGCTAAGGTTTGTGTTGTACTTTGGGGTGGGCCATAAGACACGTGACCAAGCTAATTGCCCGATCCTAGAAAACACCCCAACTAAAAACAGCTCAATATCATCTGTAATATTGCAAGTCAACACAAAGCCTAGAAACACACTCTTTGTGGGCTCCTTGATTGGGGGGTCTGCATTTACGGTTCAAGGGCTTTCGGCTTCAGGATTTTGGGCTCGGTGTTCAAGGTATTTTGGGAGTCAGGGTGCATGGGCTCAGTTTTTGTTACGATTCACAGTTTAGGTTTTGGTCTCCGGGTTCACAGAGGCTGTCATTGGTTGTGTACACCGTAGATGTTGTTTTGGGGCAGTCTGTTCTGGTCTGGCTGTTTTTTCGGGATTTTCAGATGATAGGCTTTGGGTGCAATATGCGCTCAAAGGCACGGGCTTCTTCAACATCACCGGTTCTGAAGATGACACAAACCCATCCACCACAAACTGCTCCAGGAGGGACTTTGCTTTATGCAATTCCACAGGGCCACATTGGGAGCAGTCTCTTCAGAAGCAGAACATGGAGGGGTGGACATAAGCGGCAAGCTCGGACTCTTCCTTTCCCGGCATGACGACAGGAAGATCTTCCACATTCCTTGCATGGGGGACAGTGTCCTCTTCGATCTCTGCACGTAGCCACTCTGCGAAGTCATGCCGTGCTTCTTGGTTCGGAAACTGGTGCATCAGGAATTGCTGCGGCCCTCCATGGCCTGGGTGTCTTGCTGCAGGCTTAGTTGAGCTTGCAATGTATGTCTTTCGAGTAGCAGACACTATCTACGTAGCAGGGCAATATGTCGACTGCACACTGGGGCTTTTGCGTTCGAAGTGCACCATGATATCTGAAACCAACTTGTCTCGGGTCATTGCTGCCTCTGGCAAAGCTGACATAGCGGCTGCATCTGTCATGACTGAATCATCTGGATGGGAAGATGCCACCTTAGATAAGTTGAAAGTTCAAGCATGCATTTAATATGGACAGACAAAGGCAGCTATGCGAAGTAGGCTATATAGGCTATGGGTTACGAGCTTAGGGTTTAGGGAAGTATTGATGTTGCGAGCCGCCTCCTGAGCTGTTGTTCTGGGGCTTCCCGAGCGCTCTTGGGCAGTATCAGCAAGTGCCTCATCCATCCTGCCAGTACCTAATGAGCAAGTTGCCTCGAGAGCAAAAAATGCTCGTAACCCGGCCTGGTATCGAATGATGATCAACAGCAATCGCTCGAACTCGATGTCGGGAAGCCCAAGCCCGAGATCGAGCGATTTCGTCCGAAAGCTCTCGATCTCCCCGGTCTCCAGAAAAAACCCTCGATCTCAGCCTCAAGTTTCTTGACCCGGAGATCGAGGGGTTTTTCTGGAGAGCAGGGAGATCGAGAGCTTTCGGACGAAATCGCTCGATCTCGGGGTCGGGCTCGCCGATGTCGAGATCGAGCGATTTTGGTCACGTGTGATTGTGCTGAGGTCTGGCAACACAGAGCAACATGACCCATGTCCAGCAGAGCACTGTTGAAGCCGACACAATAAGATTTTGTTCTCTGAAGTTGCTGCGACAGTGCTGTCTGTTTGTAAGTCACTATGTGAGACGGCTGTGAGTTGAACAGCAAATGCACACTGCAATGTACAGTAACTATGTGCTTCTGGTAACCCGGCTCTCACTGATTGCTTCTAGGCTTCCAAATGGACAGAGTAGCTAAGTTCGAGATCCATGAGTTATGATCATGGATGATCCACCTTCCATTGGTCCATCACTGCCCGGGCTAGAGCTTCCGACAAGGGCTGTGGATAGAAGCTAGCCCATGTGGAGCGGCGCATACCGCCTTCAAAACCTGAAATCGCTTGGTGTTCATGATCTTGTAAACATGTTTTCTCGTGGAACACCCTTCGGATGCTCGGCATATTGCTGAGAAACAAAGCGGGCTTCTGAACAGGCTTCTGGCTCGACTTCGATACTAACCCAAACCTGCACTGATCAAAACGAGAGAACTCCCCCTCGAGGCTCTTCACCTTGGCTTCTATGTGATTCTTGCAAGGCCGGAACATGCGCAGTGACCTTCGGACTTGCAGGCAGCATGGTTTCAAGTTCAAGGCACATTTGATCGCTGCCACGATAGAGCGTGTGCCGGGTGCTCGAGGACATAGTATGCTTTGAGTTGAACTTGTAGTTCGCATAACCAGACAGCAATGTCCATGTAAAGAATCGCTTGCCGTAAGGACTCTTCTCGAGGTGCCTCTTGCATTTTACCCCAGTTGGAGTACATCATCTTGCATAGGTGGGTGCAGGGCGGGCTAAGCATCAAGCAATATGGTCGAAGGGAGACGACATCTTGAAGCAATTGCCGCTGAATGTCCGTATCGCTCAAATTCCAGTATGTCTTCAGATCTATCGACCTTGTGCATCGGCCCCCAAGCTGCCGAATCACCGGCCCCACTCTAGGAGGGGAGAAGATTTCCCACAAATGGCATCTGCCAGGAGGTGGCACCTGGGTCTGGGCCTGCTGCTCCACGAAGCAGGCAATGTCATCAAAGGGCATGTTGGGCCTGGCACAAGACTGCAGGATTTTTGGACTTGAGATTCAGAGGGTTTGGGTTT